TCATAACAACAGACAAACATTGATGGAACAATGAATTCTGCACTCTATCAGAAAATCCTTAAGGAGAATGTCCGGCCGTCAGTTTGTGACCTCAAGCTCAAGCGCACTTGGGTTATGTAGCAGGACAATGATCCCAAACCCACCAGCAAGTCCACCTTTGAATGGCTCAAGAAAAACAAACTTAAGGTTTTGGAGTGGCCAAGTCAAAGTCCGGACTTAAATCCGATTGAGATGCTGTGGCATGACCTTAAACAGTCCATTCATGCTCGAAAACCCTCCAATGTGGCTGAATTAAAACAATTCTGCAAAGAAGAGTGGGCCAAAATTCCTCCACAGCGATGTGAAAGACTCATTGCCAGTTATCGCAAACACTTGATTGCAGTTGTTGCTGCGAAGGGTGGCACAACCAGTTATTAGATTTAGGGGGCAATTACTTTTTCACGTAGTGCTAGGCAGGTTTGGACAGCTTTTCCCTTAATAAATGAAATCATTATTTAAAAAATGCATTTTGTATTTACTCTGGTTATCTTAGTGAGACAAATATGCAAAAAAAAAAAAAAACAGGAAGGGGGCAAAACCTTTTTCTCAGCACTCTATATATGCAATGAAACGTATCCTTAAATATATAAAAAATATTTAAGTACTATTGATAATATAAAAATATATTTGAAGCAATTATATAGTGTATATATTTAAGAAAATTACTAAAAGTTGGTCAGACAATTTGAGTCGTAGTTTTATTGTAGCACACATCATTCAGACATCAATATCACCACAAAAGCAGCAGACCTGAGAGGTGCTGGATTTGTTTAACAGTTTTATCAAGAGCCGCAGCAAGCAAGTATTCCTCATCCTGTAACATCCAGACGGTCACTGATCTGCTCCAAACACACAGACTCTGTCAAGACAGATCACTTTCAAAGAGATACATACTTTGTCATCAACATTCAATTGAGGTGAAACACTTGAAATTATTAATCATTTCAAAAGGCTGATTTGTCAGCTGCAAGTGCATGTTTGTTGAAAAAATTATCAAAACATTTTTCACACGAATGAATGAGAGTAAATGAATGTTACAGAAACATCTTCATTGAGGTGAACGTGACCCACAGATATGAGCAGCCTTGTGGTGCAGTGGAAACATCATTATTGAATTGTCCTCAAGCATGATGGGTATTTCGAGCTCGGTCTCATGAAAATGCGTATAAATAGTACACCAAATAAAAACAAAAACTCGTGGTATTGATACGCAAAAATGGACTTTGGCGTGCATGATATGCATGTGTTTGGTGTGCATATAATACGCAGTTTTCGCGTGCATATGATACGAAATTTGTTGGCGTACATATGATACGCAGTTTTCGCGTACATATGATACGCATCTACCCCACAACCCTAAACCTACCCATCGCGTAGCA